CTCCACTACGCTACATTACACTACACTACGCTCCACAACACTACAACTACAACTACACAACCACACTCCACTACACTCCACTACACTAAATTACACTACACTACACTACATTACCCTACACTACACTACACTCCACTACACTTCACTACATTACACTACACTACACTCCACTACACTACAACTACAACTACGACTACACAACTACACTGCACTACACGAAATTACACTACACTACACTGCATTGCACTACACTACAATACACTGAATGACACTGCACCACAGATAGACAGGTAGACAGACAGACAGATAGATAGATAAATAGATAGATAGACAGGTAGACAGCTAGACAGATAGACAGATGAAAGAGAGATAGATAGATAGATAGATAGATAGATAGATAGATAGATAGATAGATAGATAGATAGATAGATAGATAGGGTAATTAGATGAAAGAGAGAGAGAGAGATAGATAGATAGATAGATCGATAGATAGATAGATACATAGAAAATAGATAGGTAGGTAGGTAGATAGTCAGAGAAAGAGAGAGAAAGAGTGAGAGAGATCAAGCACCTTTCAATCCATCAGTGGCTTCGCTCTGCCATCCCTGATTCACAACAACCAACCTCTCCTATAGGTTTCCTATTTTTGAAACTTCCGCCACCGCCTTGTGCGGTACTACTGGTAATCACCATTGACCTTAGTTAAGAGTTACGGGACACCATCTTGTAGGAAATCCATAATCCCTGTAACCAAAAAGGATTGTTATACCCTTATATATACATAACATAACATTATTATAACTAGGGAATAGGGTGTCTTTTTCTTGATACTACCCTTTGGTAAACTCACGTAGCTATGGAAAATGACCCATTTATAGATGATTTACCTATTAACAATGGTGATTTTCCATAGTTACGTTAGTTTACTGGAGGGTAACTATTATCAACTATACTGACAAAAAAACGGTGGTTGAAATTGGGGATCCCCTCCCAAGATTGGATCAAGGGAACATCCCCATCTTCGGAGCCGAGGTGATCGTGTTGTGTGCCAATGGTTCTTACTACAAGGCCTGGAGAATTCCGGGATGGGCCATATCAGTGAAGAATCCCATTAGTGCGTAGTGATTGAGAGATTTATGATTGGAATTATGAGACAAAAGATATTGACATATTTATGAGATACATATTTTTAGATTTATAGATAATAGTTTATGAGATAAATCCACAATATGAATGATTGGAACTTCATCATTCATACTTTCTTCAATCCCCTGCGAAACGGTGACTTTCGTAGGGCTACCTTGAACCCCTCTCACTGGCCCTAAGGCCACCTGTCAGGGGATCATGTTAGCTGATCCTTGATTCACTATTTCGACACTGATGGACATTTAAAATTGATTAAAATTGTGAATGGTTATAACATGATATAGCTGGTTATTGAAACATGGGATTACACATGCCAATTTTATCGGATTCTAAGTACTTATTATAACTAGTATTTCGGCCCATACCTGCAGTCTTTGGTATTCATGTTTGAAGAACTCTTCGCGCTGTTAAGAACTGCGTGTTTGTTGACTACAGTGGCCAGGCCTGCCTAACATGTCTGAAAAATCCTGTCATCACACTTAGGTGTTTCATGTGTGATTGAAATGCTTGGAGGAATCCCAAATTCTGTTGCTTACTTGTTAAGTGTCGTTGATTGGCTGGCACTGCGTTGGCTATACTGGTCATCTATCAAGACCCAGTGCTACTTTAACTTCCATCATCATCTATTTAACAGGCTACAACACTCCATTTCCAAAATTTGTTTATAGACTGATTGTATCCTATTGTACTGTATTGTTGTCGTCGATTATATTATCATCATTTGTCATCTAGATGCGCAACAAATCCCCAACAAAAAAGTGCATGATCATATTCATTGAGCTCTACTTCCATTGCTTATATTTGTTGAACCATGATAATATCACGTTGAATCCTCCAAACATGTCCTGAGAAAATACCCAACAACATCCCTGAATTATCATAGCCCAAGTACATCCTAAGACGGTACGGCTGGATTCATAGAGCATCATATTATCATGGAATCAATTTATTGTCGTCATCATGTGTCATAAATCCCCATGTCTACCAAAAATTCAGTATGATTTGTGAATAATTGTTGTAAAATAGTGATAGCCCACATAAGGTGTAAAATAATTTCCCCATGTTTGATGTCTGAAACATGATAGAATAAATGTGTTGTATTGTATATATTAATATATATATATACTTGCATATAGATATATACATACATATATATATATATATATGTCAATCCCATTAATTATATTAGTATACTATTGATGAATGTATTTTTAACAACCCTAAAACTATTTACATCCGCGAATATGACGTGTTCTTGCTTTATCAGTTGGATTGGATGACTACAGTAAACATCGACATTGCAGTAAAGGAGGCTGTCAGCCATTCCACTATTATCTATTGATGTATATGTATCCCAACAAAAAAAATAGAGGACTATACATATATATATATATACAACCCTGAAATAACTAGGGGATTGTTGCTGTAAACTTAATAATACATGTGCAATATTATGGGCATCACATATAGCTAGATCCCAGTTTTGACCGCATCATTGATGGTGTGGAATGATTGGGTCTTTTTCAATGGTCAATAGATCATGATTCATGGATGGTCAATTGGCAAATTAAATCTCCTAAAATGGTCAATTGATTCATCATTAGATGGTCAATTGGGCAATAATCTCCTATTTACCAGAGGGTATGTCATATATGTAGATGGTTGCGCAATCCTGCACCACCAAAACGATGGTTGAACCCCTATAGATCATGGGATTTTGCCCATCTATCAACTGGTGATTCGGATTTCGCAACCACCATCCACAGTACGTTCCCCTATGTTTCATTCAATAACGATGGTCAAATGGTTATTAAACCTATATATATATATATATATAAATACATACATGCATATATTGGCCATGATTAGATCCTCTATGTTTAATAAATGGCCAATAGATCCCCCGAATCGCTTTTCAAGACCATCCCTGCAGGTGCGCTTTGATCCGCACAGCTCAGGCGAAATGACGCGAGAGGACCGACGGTGGATTTCAGCCTTTCAAAAATTGGGGGATGTCATTGAAAATGGCCATTTATAGTGGATTTTCCCATTAAACATGTTGATTTTCCATAGTTATGTTAGTTTACCAGAGGGTAAAATCTCAAGAATCAATGGTTGACTTACTGGTGCTGAACGTAGGGAATGGATGGGTTGCTGGGGGTTGCTGGGATGATTATTACTAGTGATGACTGGGATCATTCCCGAAAATTCCCTGCGTAAAACGCACCAGTAAGAATATGGGGATACATTGTGATATATGGGGACCATTTCAGATTGAAATATGACAATTTAATACAATTTACCCAGATATGGGGATACACAGGGATATATGGGGAGACATGAGGACATAGCAAAAAAAACAGGTTCCAGTTCCAGCCATATGTGGATACAGATATCCATAGGGTGGAGATATCTGCCATTTTTTGCTGGCGAAAACGGCTGGTGGGCGGGATGTCTTAGCTGTTTAGATCTCCGCTACCACTAGTTATTGGTTTTTGGGTATTGAACCTGGATCGTGAAACTGGGATAATTTTACTTTTAATCTTTAGTGAATACCTTAAACTTAATACTATCCAAAAATGACCCGAAGCAAGAGATTCAAATCCGTACTTACACATGTCATATGTGTTTGCGTTGACATATGTGTGTATATATATATATACATACATACATACATACATACATACATGTTTTTGCGTATATTTTGGCGTGGTAACCCAACTCAATGAGGGTAACATCGGCGGTTGAGACTCCCCAGTGATCTGCCTAGGACTACTACCAGTTCGATGACAAAAGCACCCAAGGGGAAGGCCGAAGTACCAGCACGGCTGTCGCTGGGCAGATCGGGACCTCGTGGAGATGGGGATCGGGGCTTGAGTGACCCCTTAGGCCATGAAGAACACCAAGTGATTTTTGCGATAATTTAACCAACCCACTGGGGATTTCATGAAGGATATTAACCATGAAACCAACAAAACGGGGATTTCAACCAGGATATTGATGGGGAGATGTTTTGGTTGGGATAAGCAACGTCAAGAAATGGATGATATGGCATGATATACCCAGTTCTTGGGGGCCATGCATTGACAGAGTTTGATATACCCAGGTACTCAGGAATCCATCAAGGATAGCGGGACGACCAAAGCTCATAGACCACATGGGCCATTGAACATATCCATACGTTGATTGGTTATGAAGGAGGAGTTGTACTAAAATTACATGGTGACTATGTGATTGGGGATTATGATGAATTATGAAATAATCCACATTATAAGTATAATTATTTGGAAACCTATCAATCCTCTGTCCCGTGTCACATATGATCCCCAACCTTCGATAGTTTATTTGCTGTAAATGGTCAATAACCATAACTAGCAAAATAGTGCTGCTGTCGTGGACTACCAAAGATTGACAGGAAACCTATCAACCAACTAGAAAAAACGGCATGGTAAAACGGGAGATGTTTGATGGCTCCTTTTAATATCGAACCATGGTAACTTGACCAAGGTGCCAGCTTTTTGGGGGTTCAATCCATACCACGAATGGTGATGTTCCCTGGTAGTTTCCTATGGCAAACAGTTAAATTACACCACGGTAATGGGATGCATGACACATATGGAAGATGTGTCTTGCCAAAAAAAGGTGCTTTGTTTTCGATATGATGATAATCCATTGTGAGCGTTGTATCAAGGACATCACGGGAATAGACGGATGTAAGGAGAACTTGGCCATTTTGGTTATTGTATGGCTGAAAGACACAGCGGGGGTCTTAGGTCAGTGGTCACCCCAAATCATTATCCCAAAAGTTCGTTATTGGTCAGTCGCTAGTTATTGCTCAAGCTACATGCCACAGACCTAATCATGCAGTTATGGGGTCGAAATGCTGCAAACCCACGCAATGCATCGCAAACATCCAATAAACTGCGAGTTTGGGTTGCAAGTGGCAACCTTGAATGATAGGATTTTAGACGGGAGAGTTCCCATGCCTTCCACCGTGCGGTCTTTGAAGAAAGTTGCAGTGGCGTTTGAAAATCAGCACCTGAAGTAGGTTGAAAAACCAGACCATGAGATATCCCATGTTTTTTTTTGCCATGGCAGTATGTATACTGGTTGGTGGTTTCAATCATGGCTGATATTTTCCATTTCATATATGGGATAATCCTTCCCATTGACTTTCATATTTGTTCAAGATGGTTAAAACCACCAAGCCGTATAGTTTTAGTTTTAGTTTTGGCATGTTTGGCTATTATTCCCCTTAGCAAAACCCTGTTGAAAAAAAACATGTATGAACGTCTTGATGGGATCCCGAAGATTAGACAGGTCATTGGTTTCCATTTTGGCAGTTTGAGAAATTTTGGACGGAAAAAACTGACCCCCCACATTCCTGTTTGAACCTGTTTGGACTCATTGGATTATTCCTATTTTTCGGGGGAAATTCAATAATGACATTGGGAATTGCGGTATTTAAGGACTCATGCCTATTTCCAGCGTCAACAAGTTGTATAAGTATATTATTGGTGGCTGAATCTACCATTTTTGGTTTGACAAGTTCATGTAGCATGTCCCCACGATTGAAACTTTGCGCCTGGTTTTGTAGTACCGGATTTTGCACAAAAAAGTGCTTACCTTTGAGGGTGTAATCCGTGCCATCCGCAGTGTTAGATCTGCTGCTAGTAGATGGTCATTTTATGGAGGTTTCCTGAAATGGGGGGTACCCCCAAATCATCAATTTATAATTGGATTTTCCATTAGAAGCCATCCATTTTGGGGATCCATTTATGGAAATCCCCATATCTGGGTAAATTTCATCATGACCTCATTGTTCTCCCTCACTGGAAATCATAGTCAGGATTTGTGGAATCATCCCAAAATGCCGCAAGATTCAGGTTAGTGAAATATTATGGCCTTTACCCAGGTAATCAACTATTTCTATCATCCATGTTAGATTGGGATTTTCCATCTGTGCCCTGAACACCTGGGCCGTTCGACGAGCCGAAAACAACCAAGGCTTTACCGCAGATGCCCTCCAGTGGAGGTCGGAGGTCACCCATGATGCAGTGGCAGATATTACGTTGAACTATAAGGGTGATATAGTGGGTGATATAGTGTGTGTATATATATATATTAGCAATAGAATTTATAGAATGGGGATATGTTGGGATTATGAATAGACGTCAGACATCTATATATTATGTAACATTATATTTATTCTGATTGGTGGTTTGGAACATTTTATATTTTCCCTATATTGGGAATCATAATCCCAACTGACTTTCATATTTTTCAGAGGGGTGGTATACCACCAACCAGTATAAATTAATGCAATGACTAGATCTGATTACGAACTGGTTCATGACGGTGTTTTTTGCGCGTTGATGCAGAGGAGGATGACGAGGGTGGTGAGGGTGGTGATAGTGGTGGTTACCCTCCAGTAAACTAACAGTTTGCTATTGAAAATGGCCATAGAAATAGTTGATTTACCATAGAAATAGTTGATTTACCCATTAAAAGTGATAATTTTCCATAGTTATGTTAGTTTACCAGAGGGTAAGGAGAGCAATACTCAATCTCACCTGCCTTCAAGTCAAACCTCTTGATCCCAGCTAGAGTACTCTACCATACTCTACCCTCCGATAGTCACACAATGAAATTGAAGATCAGGTAAGAATAACTGGTAGGTGGTTTGGAACATGGCTTTTATTTTCCATTTCATATATGGGATAATCCTTCCCATTGACTAATATTTTTCAAGATGGTTAAAACCACCAACCAGATCAAATTTTACAGGAATTACAGAAATGTTATCGTAAATGTGGGGGATTTTATGATTTTTATGCTTGCCTTGCTTCATAACCCAAGGGGAATCTTGTTAATGATTTGCCACACCTTCCTTGACAGGGGACGAAGTGGTTTCCAGCCCGGGACCCAAGAGTTGAGAGATGAGTTTCCAGAAACATGGTCGAACCAATCCTTTGCCATCCGCATGTAAACTATTAAAGCCCTAAACCAAATATTCAGGTGATTCAGGTTCCCTTCGTGCCTTTGTTACTCTCCGAAAGCCAAATCCTGCGAGACAGGCAACTCTGATGATCCGACTGTATGAAAATGCCCCTTACATCGCATAGTGTTCCCATAGGTTCTATCCAAGTGCTTTCTTCATGATTATAGGACTATGTTTGTTGGTTTAAACGACGGGACGTCTACCAAACTTAAACAGCCGTATAAATAGGTCATAGATGATAGCCATGATGGCCAATCACCGACCATTTACCAAGTGTGGTTTTTCTTCAAGTTCCCACGGCAGGAGAACATTGGCAGCTTATTTGATTTGCACTCTTTCAGAGTATAAACGTTCGCAGGTCAACGTTCCACTTGTAATCCATGCTACCACCCATTGGAATTACGGTTTATGATTCATGTACTGCATATCACACCAGATTCTACACTTATTCAGCTGGAACTTAAACTGGGAGAAATATATGTAGTTTCTAACTTTGATCATATATATATATATATATATTCATATACGTAAAGATTCATATATATATATATATACATAATTATATATATATACACATGTGTATATATATATATATATTTACATATGGGAACCCGCACTCTCGAGTGTATCCCATGGGATTCCTCTTTTTGTTGCTTCGATTTCGGGCAGAAATCCCATGGAGTCTTTGCACAGGCGAAACGGGGAGCTGACGAGCTGAAAAAACATACGGAGCGGGCTGGAGCTGTGGTGGTCTACCCCTGAACGGTAAACCATCTGTAAATGGGTCATCTATACCATGGCTATGTTAAATAACTAGAAGGTATATACAATATATAGATATGCATATATATAATTTATAGATATAGGTATAGATATAGATAGATAATACATGCATGTATCATTGAATGTATATTATAAATGTTTACTTATATATATATATATACGTAATATAGATATACATATTATATGACCTTACAGTTTATATTAATATATTGTATAGATACATGATAATGTATATATGACCTTCAATCGACCCATGAAGTAATGTGTATTGCTCCACAAGTTTAGTAGTTGTTTCCAATTTTGACGGCTAAGGATCAATGTACTTTCGAGTGTTCAATACAATGTGGCATAGTTATTCTGACTGTATAGTTTTTCTGGGTAGGTTGAAATCATCAACCTGGAAACTTGAGAGGCTGTCGAGGAAAATTGGGAGAGAACTGTTGGTTTTATCAACATTGTTTCTTGTGAAAAGTAAAAAATAGGGTACCATGCGACCTATGTTGTGATATGCATATTATATATATATATATATACATGATTCTATATGTACGTGTTTCTTATTCCGGCATTCAGTTTCCACTGCGAAGTCGGAAGTGACTTTTTTTCATGGGTGACCTAACTGCGGCGATGCATGATGGGCATCTCCGGGAGACACGGCTCCCAAATGATGGCTAAGTTACTGCTTGGTGGTGACTGGAACCATGGAATTTTATGAATGTCCGGATTCAGAAAAGGGAATTTCAGAATCCCAAGTGACGAAGGAAGTCCATCATTTTTCACAGGGGTAGGTCAACCACCAACCAGATATATATATATATATATATATTTGTATATTAGTCATCCATTTATCCATCTTCCAAGAGAATGATTAATAATATATATATATATATACCCATGATGGATGATTTTCATGATCCTAGTTTGATCCATGTGTGTCAACTATGGAAAAGTTTGGTTGAAGGGTCAAAATTACTTACACAGGACAGGAGTTGGTCTTGCCACAGTTCTAGTCAAATGCTCGGGTCAGGAATTTCCGTAAAACCATTATACATTATCATTTTACCATATTTTACCGGCAACATATGCCATGATCATTA